TAGCAGACTATATATAATCTGATAGGTCAGCATCTGTAACTTTAGTCATACTAGCTTATATTGAGAAGCTGTAGAATAGTAGTGTAATGTATGAGTTATATAAAATCTGAGTGAAATAGCTATATAAATCTAGAGGCTTGGACATATAAAAGTCTGTTTAGCAAGTTTTGAGTGGAGAAGTAATACAGATTTTTGATAGTACTATGTAAAAAATAACTATCAATAATCAGATTCAATAGTAAACTAAACAAGAACTGAGTGTTTAGCAAGACATTATACTAATCAGACTATGTATATATAGTATAAAGAAAAAGATTCATTAGAATATTAGAAGATATAAGTTTCTTCTAGACCATCTGGATTAGGAGTTTAGAAACACTATTGATATAGAACCCTGAACAATCTATAGACAGGTAAGATTTTAATTTGCTTATTTCAGACTACTTTTTTTGCAGATCTTTTCATTTTTAGTAATTAGTTTGCTTATTTTAGACTTTTTTTCTGCAGATCCTTCTATTTTTAGTAATTTTTGCAAATTGTTAGCTGTTTGTAGATTGTTTGGGGTCCTGTTAATATACTAGAAAAGTTGGTAATACAGTCAACTCTCTCTAATCCGAACCTCTCTAATCCGAACCTCTCTAATCCGAACACTATTAAATTCTCTCTAATCCGAACGAAAAACTTTAGAACATTTGTAAATTTTATTATAGAGTTCGGATTAGCTAATAATAACTCTTTAAAAATCGAACTTTTTAACCAATTTTACATATAAGAACGGACAGGTCGGAATAAACAGAGTTGACTATAGTCTATAACATTGGGAGTATAAATATGGTGCAGATCTGCAAAGATCTTTGACCCTAGAAAATTTTGACAAATTTTATAATATCTCGTGATCCAGTGGTTAAAATTTAGCGATTTTGGTACCATTTGATTCGTCTAGATGAGACGGATCGAATGGTATCAAAATTGCTAAATTTCGATTACTAGATCATAAGATAATTGCATTTAAGTAATATTTGTAACTACCTAAATAACTCGCCAACGAGTAGTCCAAATTTAACAATTTTGATACCATTCGATTCCTCTCGATGAGACGGTTCGAATGGTATCAAAAATGCTAAAATCGGATCACTGGTTGGCGAGATATTCGCAAAATATATTTTGTAGTGCAGTTTAGCACAGCACAGTTCGGTGGAGAACTTTAATTTCTTTTTTAAAGTTCTGTGCTGAACTGTGCTGCAAAACGTATTTTGCGAATATTTCACCAACTAGTGATCTGATTTTAGCGTTTTTGATTCCATTCGAACCGTCTCATCGAGAGGAATCGAATAGTACCAAAATTGTTAAATTTGAACTGCTTGTTGGCGAGTTATTTAGGTAGTTACAAATATCACTTAAATGCAATTATCTTGTGATCCAGTAATCAAAATTTAGCAATTTTGATACCATTTGATCCATCTCATCAAGACAGATCGAATGGTACCAAATCACTAAATTTCAACTACTGGATCACGAGATATCGTGAAATTTGTCAAAATTTTCTAGGGTCAAAGATCTTTGCAGATCTGCACCATTTTTATTCTCCTGATAAAAGTGTGTACTGAGGTCTAGATAAACTTTATAAAGGCAGTAGTAGGTAATGGTAGTGGTTTTGGCTTACAAATACTTGTTTTTAGATTTAGTATAAGTTATCAAAAGTTTAGATTAATCAGATTGTGAGTATAGAAAGCTTTTATAACAATGTTTCAAAGATAAATTAGTTCTAAAAACTTTAGGAAAACATCTGGAACTTTTTACAATTGATAATTATGGTGAAGATATACAGTACTGATAATACAAGTCAAGTTATATTACAGAAAGTTTAAATAAATAATCTCCTAGTTAGGTTGTAGATATAGTAGCTAGTATAGAATCTAGGGTTTCGCAATTTGATTTAGTTCAATTTGATTCGATTAAATATTTAAATTAAATCAAATTTAAATTATAGATTTATTTGATTTGATTAAATTCAAATTAATAATATATTTGATTTGATTTGATAAATATTTAAATACAGTCAGATCTCAATATAATCATTAGATTGAAAACCAAAATTTTGGTGAATATAAAAAGTTGTAACTATATGAAGATCAAAATTTATATATTTTATAATAGCAAGATTACAAAAATAGTATGATTATAACAAGGTTGTAATATCGAAAGTAATTATAATAAGATTTAACTGTATTTAAATTGATTTAAATTGAAATTATAGATTTAATAGCTCTTTATGCAAAATTTTATTAAACTAACTGCTATTTTTATTATAATTAACTAGGGGTATTTTGATTAGAAGAACATTTTTTATTTAATATACAAAGTAATTAGCTTAGTAAAATTTTATATAAATTGGAATTTTTGAAAAGTGTTGAAAGTTTAAAATTTTTAATAATATTTGAATGTTATTTAATTTGATTTGATTTGATTTGATTTGATTTGATTTGATTAAATCAAATTTAAATTAAAAATTTATTTGATTTGATTAATATTTGATTTGTTTTGATTTGACTTTGAAAAATTCTAGTGAAACCTATAATGTAATATCAATACATGAACTATTAAATAGGTAACTAAAAGTTGCATATGTAATTAGTTGTACTCTTTAATATAAAAAGTTCTGTAAGTAAACCCTGTGCCTAAATATTTGAATAAAAAACCTTGGCCCAAAGAGGCTAGTTAACAAAAAAAAATAAAAATATAAATAAAGATATTGGGAAGGCTATCAATAAAAAAAAAAATTTAATAATTTTAAACCTTTTTAGTACTGTATAATAGATTATATACTGTATAAACATTTCTAGAAATAGTTATATAATATCAAATATATAATATATTTTAGATAAAAGTTCTATCTATAATTACAGTCAACCCCTATACAATCACCTTTCTTATAATCACATCATATAAAAACTTCTTTTTATATTACATTTTTATTTAAAATAATTTACTATTAAATATATAACAAAATATTTTCATAAAAGCACAACCTCTTTATAAGCACATTTTTAAAAAAGTTTTTAAGTAAAAAAATGTGTGATTATATAGAAGGTTCACTGTATATATATTTATAACTTATAGCTATAAACTTGTAGCTTGTATACTTTTATTAGATCTAATAAATAATACTGATAAAACCGTCTAAATAAATAAAATAAAAATTTTATAAAAGTTATGCTATCTAAATATTTGGTATACAAATTTTATAATTTACCGTATTTTCCCAACATGTACTGTATATACCCCGTGGGTTATACCCTGCAGCAATTAGAGTGCCAAATTTTGATTTATACCCGGGTATATAAGTATACTTATGTACCCAGGTATGTAATAGTAAAACATATCAAAACATAGAAGTACTCGTACAGTATACCCTCCCTACACGCGTCCCCGGACAGTGATTTTATGTGTTTCACATAACACCACAGAATCCACATAAACATGGCATATCACCGCAGAATATCACATAATGTAGTAATTTACAAGAATTGGCACATAATTTGGCAATTTTATTGAGGCAGCGAATGAAGTCTAACGGATTCGGTATCTTCCGATGTAGAATTTGAACGAACTCAAATTACGAGCAGGGTTATGAAATTTTTTGAAGCGATGTTCCGTCAAAAAAAATTTGGTCACGAATATTACAGAATCGCAAATATGGAAAATATGTTTCACATCACATAATTTGAATTTCGCCACCACATAATTTTGTTTTGATTTTGCCACCACATAAAATCACTAATTGTTTTTGTAAAAAATAAAAAATGATCTACATAAAATTAGCCAACCAAGCCATTTTAGTTTATATAAGTTATATTCAAGAAAGTGGAAAATCTATATTTTTATTTGACACTAATCTGATCGCGAAAATTTTCTGCTTTATCATATTAACAAGGAATAAATCAAATTATTTATTGGTGAAAAGGTAGTTGTCATAATAGATCCATTCTAACGCATTCAGAAGAACCGAATAGCTTAAAAAAAAAAAAAGAACCTCACTGGATATTAGGCTTTTAATGTCAATATAGTTGGACCCGGGTCTCTTACATTCCACCAATTTTAAAGCCTGTAGTAAACCCCGGGTCTAGTACATGGCTGAGAGCTTATATCATATAATGTAAAAATTTGATATGCACACACACTTTGTGCTTATACAGGCAATCTAGATTTAAGAAGATCCTGTGATTTGCACCCGGTATTTTAGAATTCTAATTTTATTTATCATTTTTATATATTAGTCATTGTTATTTTAAAATTAAATATGAAAAATAAATTTAAATAATAGATTTGAAAATATAGATTTGAAAAAAAGGTTTCATATCAAATTTTGTGCACAATCCACGTGATTATGCGAATGAAAGTGATCACAACATACCGATACAGTATTTCGTCACCTTAATACGTAGGGATTTTTTTTCAAAATTGATCCAAAACCAGATATATGAATATAGATCCAATGTAATAAACCAGCCACATTAAGAATTAAAACTAATAATAATAATAATAATATAATAATAACGATAAATAATACAAAAAATGAATGGATTTAAACAAAACCAGTTTAATAAGATTTTAAAACCCGATCGACACAAATGAAGGCGACAAAATTTGTGTCAATTAAGAAATACAAAAATAATTTATAATGTATACAATATACATAAAAATAATAATTTTCTATAAACAGATGCTACTTTTAAAAGGAGGATTGCATAGAATTATTGTTAACAGTTTGATACATAAATTATGAATTAATGAAGTTTTAGTGTCGATGATACATAATACTATCAATGCAGAATGAATCAAACATAAATAATAAATTGCACATTTAACGAATATAGGCAAAGATAAAAATTTGTTACTATTATTATAATTAGATAATTTGCAACTGTTTAAAAAAAAATAAAATAAAAATAAAAAATTAGTATGGAAAATTAGATCAAAACAATTTAAATCTTATATATTTAATAAAAGAAACTCACATAATTGCTTGGTGCTATACCGATTGAACCATCTGCTTTCTTTGCTTGCCACCATTTACCTTTATTATCTACAATATCAAGGATTTCACCCTTGGTAAATGAAAGTTCAGTTTGATCCTCGGGACTTGCTTGATCTGTAAATATCAAACATATTAAACGTGTTAATAGTTTCAAATAAATAATGTAAGAACTCATAATAATTAACATTATAATCATATATACAATATAACCTTCATATAACCTTAATATAACCTCGATATAATAAACAACAAAGCTCAATTTGTTCATCTTTAGGCCTTACATTTAAATTGGCCTCAATATAACGAATCCATTAGCAAGTTTAAATATAACGAATCCATTAGCAAGTTTAAATATAACGTCTTCGTTATATCAAGGTTATATTGTATGCAGGGTCGTTGATATAACTTACAATCATATAAAGCTTTTGCTTTGTAAGCATAATCAGCATTAGGAGATACAACTACTTGATCTTGCATGGTTGTCATCTGTATTTGTCCAGGATTTAGTTGAACACCCGAAGGGAAACCAACATCCGGATGAACATTTCTCGGATGAGCAGGTTTATTAATGGACCATGAGTTTATGGTGTCTCCAACCAGGGAGCCATCTTCCGCACCGAATGCAATTACCCAAGCAAACTAGAAAATTTTTGTCAATTCTATTAAAAATTTTAAATAATAATAATCCATATGATAAATGTGAAATATAAATTACCGAAACAATAGTGACAAAAAGTGCACCAGCGGCAAAAGCTTGCAATGCAGGTAAAGGTAGGCTAATGAAACTGTTAATTATTGGGATATGAAAAACTATACCAATACCCAAAAAAGTTACAATCTGTGTTTGATAAAATAATTATCAGTTAAGGATATATGTTTATAGAATTCAGTAATTTGTGACCAATAAAATCATACAATATATAAAATAAGCATTTATGTATTAAATTATATCACATATGCTCTAATCTATTTACGGATAATTGATGACGTAAAATTCAAGGTCCGCTTTTAATTTAAAGGATACAGCAGTGCGATAGTAACTTAAAGCATTGGAACCGATGGCTACGACAATAGCAGTTATAAGAAATAATTCATAAATTATATAGAACCAATTAACACCCACAGCTTGAGAGGCGGCGGCGCCGGCGAATTCTACGATCCAGCCAACCTAAAATCACAAGCATAAAATTAGAGACGCATATGCTTAACAAAACACTTAACTTCTATGAAAGGATTGTCATACTACTGCCAAGCCTAAAGTGGCAAGATAAAAGGGATTCCCAACAATTAATCCAAAGTCAAAAGTCATATTGTATACACTTCCTTTTTGTTTCCGAAATTTTGTATCCGAAGAGAACTTTTAGAGTCGTCACGGCGGGAAAGATGAAGGAAGGCGAAACCAAGGTTCCAACTTGGCTATTAATTAGTCAATAAAATGACGGGCGGTATATTAAGGGAAGTATGTGTTCGGTAGGAATCGACCGCACTGACTAAACTGGAAAAGTCCCAAATAAATAAGAACATTAATCAGGCGAAGCGAAAACATATACTAAATAAATAGCTTTATGAATATCAATTATGCATAAACAATATGTTTAATTGCTATGAAAGGAAAGAATGAATAATGGGAAGAAATTCCCGGATTTATTTTTACCTCTGTAAGAGAAAGAATAGGCTTTTGTTAATTTAAAGGTACAGAAGGAATGTTATGATAATGGCAATAAACCACAAGAAAGTTTGGGTTCACAATGGTCACAAAATATATGAATCGATAGTGAATACAATTATTACAATTATACTACGTCTATCGAACGAAATAATATTTGTTATGTTTGTGCAGCTTCGTGCGTGTTAAGTCACTAAATGTTTACTTTTTTGTACGTACGTACGTAAGTACTTAAGAAGCATTTTCAATCTTTTTATACATTATATCCGTGGAACCATATGGATAAAAATTGATTATATGTTTGAAGGTTAGTTTTCAAAGATCAGGTTTTCTTACATAACATATGACGTTACTCAAACTAAATATAGATTGTAATTAAGCAATTCCTGAACTTTGTTTTGTAACACTGCGTACACTGCATATCAATGGACCTTATATAGTAAATTTAATTTCTCATAACCCCCGTAATTCCGGTCAATTTCATCGGCTACTTGGCCAGGTTTTAATCATGTGGCGTGAATCTACTCAAATGATCGGCCATATCTGTCTAAATTACGTATGAATAGACAATGAGGAAGCTTATTCATGCTGACAATATCTTCAGTTTTCAATCATTCAATTCGGTCACCAAAAAATAAAATCGAACTAGCATATATCTCACATATCGCACGACTTCAGTTTTTAGTGATGAATTATCCACTGATTGTTTTAATCTTTTTTACTATCCATCAAATTTGCGCGAATGCATGTCTTTAAATCAAATCCTAACAACGAGAGTAACAGATTAATAATGCTAAAGTTCTAGTTTTTATATTTACCAGTATTAAAAAGCATATATATATTTAATTAAATACTTTATACGTATAAAGTAAAAATAATTGCATGACGATATAGATTGAAGATACTAATGTGGCACGTAAGTACTAGTAAGACCATGGAAGATATGGAAGATCGACAAATATGCACTAACGCTAATCAGATCTCTTCGAATAATCAAATTTTGACATGCACAAGATTTTAAAGTACCAAAATTTTATGTTGATGTTAGAATATGACATGAAATATATTAAAATTACAAGTAATTTGTTTGTTATTAGAGCGCAGAAGGTGGTTTCATAGTCAAAAATTTAAGTTATTAACGGTTTTTGTTTTTTAAAAAAAAACTTTTCACGTTATACCTGATCTAGTGATCTGATCATTTAAAGAAATTGATTGGTGCACCCTGTGATGATCTTTTATCAGGTAGATCTATACGTTGAATCAATGAATTACTCGTATATAGTAATGGTCAAAAATAATGCAGCTATTTAAAATTTATAATTAATAACAATAAAGAGTAAATTTTAGAGTGTTGCTATTTCCACCCCCCATTTTTGCTAATGCCACCCCCCAGATATCAAAAAGTACTCTGGAATAGATATTTTTATTAAGTAAACCCACCTTTTGATCTTAAT